AGTTATTTTTGGTGACACCACCATCCCCTCCCACCCAATCCCCAATGGATTCAAAATTAGCAGATATCTGCATGATTGCTTATCAGTTATAGCATTCCTGACTCTACTCATCATTATCAAATGTAAGAGTTACGAAGTGATAGAGAGAGAAACATTGAGTCTTAAATGTCTTGATTGTGATCATGAAACAAGAAAAGAGACACAGTTTTGGTGTAGTAGATCTGTAAAAACTTGAACCTAAATGACCATCAAAAATTGAGTATCTTTCACAGTAGTTGGTCTGTAGACCTATACAGTCAAACAGTTAGGAAGTGCAGAGTTTTGGGCCATCATAGTTTTTTAGACCTTGAAGCAGGTACATACAAATTTACACAGTCAAACCAACTGGAGAGGGTTATAACCTATGATGTGATCAGTTGCCACGACGATATTTTATAGCTCCTATATTAGATGATAGGGGCTCCTTTGATTAGCTTTTGTGAGTTAAGAGTTAAAGTGAAGCCTTTATTACAAGCAGATAATGACAGTTTTATATGTTTGATTAGGTTTTGGTTGTGGAGGAGAAAATGAATGTGATTCAGAGTTAGGAGCTTGTACTAGTGTTTCAGAGGATGGACGCTTCATTAGTTTCAGCAGCATTCATGATGAGAATGGATCTAAAATTTTAGAAAAGGAAATTTGATAGTACATGGTATTAATCTAAGGCCATTATAGAGACATAAGTCTTTGGACTAAAGATTGATTTATTGAAATTTTAATTTGGAATTATATTTGGACATATTTTGTTCCTGTACCTTAAATGCTTCATGTCAGTATACCTTTGAAAAGGAATAGTCCATCTGTTCATGATGTTCTACAAATATTTATGTAACCGGAACACTTGATAATGGTTACTGTTTGTTTATAGGAACTTTTAGAACTTGATGGTATCATAAATACAAACATGATTGATTTTAAGCTCTCATCTTTCTTACAAATTGTTGATACCGAAAACTGCATTTTGTAAAAAATTTTGAAAGATGAATGGCATACCTTAAATGAACTGATGAATCTGTCATGTTGAATTGTTCTGTGGAAACATAAGTCTATTTTCCATATTTCTGCAAGTCCATTATAAGTTTGGATATCCATTCAAGTTTGAAATGTAAATTTATTTAAAAAAAAAAAAATCATCTTGAAAATTTGAAACACAATTTAACACAGATATGATTATAAACATACAGATCATGTGGTGACATGATCATCTCCATAATTTGACATAAATATTGTGCCCCGTAGGGCTGCCATATAAAGTTGTTTTCAACCTTTGCTATTTGCTAGTGGTATTCATATTAGCTATGGATATTTACTAATATGATGGGGGAAAAACAAAACAAAAAAATTGTAATGTTAGTATCATTATCATCTTTAAATATCACCAATTTACTAATTGGTTTGTACTGATCACATTCTGTGATATTTTGCCATGTGTTGTATGGAATGTAGGTATAAATAAAGAAAAATGTGTTGTTGTGATTTTCTATATTTTGAGAGTTTTTAATGTTAGACATCCTAACACTAATGGTTTCCATGATCCAAATGGAAGTATCCAAACTGTTGTTTAATTTGTTTATCGTTCAATGTGGATATTTGGAATTTTCAACAAACTTCATGAAATGCCTGTATTAAAATTTGAACTAGGGTAGTATAAATATGATCTAGAGTTTGATGGCTTTCCTTGTCCTGATATCTATACTACAATAAATTATAGACTGATAAATTACACTGCCACATAACAATAACTCGCCAGCAGAGGCAGACAACTACTTACAGAGTTATGACAGGCCAATATGTTCTTAGATTAAAACTTGAGTGCTACCTGATCATCAGTGTAGGTCAATTATAGGTCAGTCTGTTTACATGTCTGGAGTGGATTTTACATTAACTCATAACTCATTGAAATTTAATTTCTTAAAATGTAATCATGTAGAGAATCTTTATTCAGGGAAAGAGCAAGTCAGTTTTTGGTAATGCGGAGTCATTACAATACCTTGAATTGTAAAACTGTCTTATTTTAATGATGTAGTGTAAGGCATGTTGAAGAGTGTCTTGTAATATTAGGTAAGAGTAATCTTCTTTTATGGGTTCTCCACCTACACGTCTATTGCCTTAGTTTTTTGTCTCACTAACAATAGCTGCTGATGTTCTGATCGTGACTGAAGACTTGGAGGGGAACATCTGAGCTTATCAGGGGTGCATTGTGTGATGTACACAGACAGATCCTGCTCATGTTGTTGGCTCATCACATCCTGTTAATACTGGGGATCTAACTCCCAGAATCAATAAAGGCTTCTCCATTAGCAAGTTATATAGTGTTCACAGAGAAATCTCTTGGAACATTAAGCACTTGAAATTTGTTTCTGTTATATTGATGAGATGTTTAAAAGCGGTTGTGGGTTGATCACGTAATGTCAATTTTTTATTCTTATTTTTGAGCTGTTATCTAAGATCATCTGTTAACCTGCCATAGTTTTATTGTGATGATCATTCTATAATACAATGTCGAAATCATGTAATGTGTAGTATGTTAAAACAATAACGGAGAAATATTTTGTAGCTTAAAATTATATGATCAATACAAGTACTAACATTTGTGATTGTTGTTTGATTTGAAATATATTCACAGGGGAATTTTTGGCATTCTTCCATCTTCCAACAGTGAATTTAAGAAGTTTTGTGCATAGCAATGTCACAAAAACATGAATTATGTTTTACATATTTTTAATATGTAGAAAAAAACCTAAACATAACACAGAAAGCATATCTGTGTGTGGTTACCTGTTACCTGTTACCAATCCACTTTGTGCATTGTGGCAAATAAAGCTTTCACAGAGCTTTTCCATCTCTCCCAATCTGTTGCCACTGTTCGTATTTCGTACCAGGATCTCCAGTCTGCTTCATCTCCTTTCTTCTTTACCGTTCTCTTCCTTCTCTTCCATGTCGTCTTTGGATGTTCTCATTTCTGATTCCTTCTGGGATCCATGTTAATGCACCATTGTAGTCGTTCTTGTCCTGCCAGATAACACACCCAATCACTTCCAGTCTGACTTTTTATCGCCTCGCTTACTGATGCCCTGTTTTTGTTCTTTCCAATATGTCTTCTGTCCTTAGTGGTCTTGCCACTGTACTGCACTGAATCTTTCTGAGGCATTTGTTGTGGAAAACATCAACCAACTTGTCATCCCCTTTATTCATTTTCCATATTTCACATCCCTATTATAAAACTGGTATTGCTAATGCTTTGTATAGCCTCAGCTTTGTTCCCCTCGAGACGTTATTTGAGTTTCAAACATGTTTCAGTTGTATAAAAGCACATCTAGCTTTTCATAGTCTTATCTACCATTGCAACAGTGTTGTACATGTAAATTGTTCTACATCCTCTAAATCTTGTTCTCTTAACTTGATGGTGTCCTGATTTCTCTCATTTATCCCTATCAATTAAGTTTCATTGATGTTGATAATTAGTCCTACCCTACTATTATTTACATTCTCAAAAAATAGATCGTTGATAATATTTGTGAAAAAATGCTTTGTTTATTGCTCTGTGAACAGCCAGGGTCATTTTGAGGCAGGAACGCCCTTGTATTAATTAGCTTGTGTCTTTTCCACTGCAATCCTACAGAAGCCCATTACATGATAGATGTGGTTACTTAAGATCTACTGAATGTAGGGATAATTGGTTCATTGTGGTGTTTTATGTGCATAACTGTGAAAGATGATATTGATCATATGTACATGTATCTAATTTAAATGTCAACCTTGTCCCTAAATGGTTGGAGTTCAGTGACATGACTTTGATACTGTGGCATGACAATAATGTACATTAGACATTCATGTCCCAGTAGAGAAATATCTACACTGGCATCCATCATATAATCCCTCATATTTTATATCTTACTTTGTGCTCAAGTAGGAAAGTGACTGCACTTGTATGTACGAAAGCAATATTTAGTTTGCCTCCATTATGAACGACTAGAAAACCCATATTCTGTTCATTTGTTAATGATGTCATAACCACTTTATGTTTTCTCCGTTTTGGATCCAATGAAGAAAAGAAATCACTTGGGAGCTCAGTGTCCACATTGGCCTAGTTAATTTGTAGTGGATGATCTTTGGAAAAACCATAGAGAAAATTAGGAAGTGTTGATAGAAATCAGTTAAAGTGTCAGTACAATGTAATGTAGAATACACATTGTTATGAAATTTATATAACATTGTGTGGTGGTGTTTTAATTATGTAATTACATAGGCAACTTAATTAGGTTCAATAAAATTCAGAAGATAACTGTAATTGTCATATAAATAGATATTTGAGGTAGATATTATGTGACTTACATTTTAGGTATTTAATTAGAAAATAATTCACATTCAATGATCATTATACAATATGTTTTTTATGAAGCCTTTACAGCATTATTGCTAAAAACAATGAGTCTTAATAAGTAAGATTTCAGTATTTTTAGAAATTCTTTGAGTCCCAACAAAACAGGACTCTGGACTCACATGTTAATTTATTTATCACTGCACATTATAAATAAACAGAAGTTTTTGAAGTAGAAATGGTGTTATTTAAGTTATCACCCAGGTGTTACCTGTTAAGGGTTGAAGAATTGATAATGGTGCTTTACATGTTATAGAGGTTGATACTAATGTTGTATTTCGGTATGTGTTAAAAGTTGTGGAACTATTGAGTAGACGCTGATGTTATATACCAGTATTTGTAGAACTACAATTTTTGAGTTGAAAATGATGCTGTATATGTTACAGGTTGAAGAACTATTGAAATGACAATGAGGTTGTAAATGACACTGATGTTGTATATGTTACAGGTTGTAGAACTATTGAAGTGACACTGATGTTGTATATGTTACAGGTTGTAGAACTATTGAAATGACACTGATGTTGTATATGTTACAGGTTGTAGAACTATTGAGTTGACACTGATGTTGTTTATATTACAGGTTGGTAGACAACAGATGTGTGGTACAGCCAGAGGCTGGTGACCTTACTAATCCTCCAAAGAAGTTCAGAGGTAAAATTACTAGAGGGAAAGAAACAACAGGAAGCACTTATTCTCTGTTAAAAAAATCCGACAAAACAAGCCCTTGATTATGTTTAAAACAGATTGCTGGGACAATGAAACAAAATTTGTTTTTAAAAAAAAAAAATTTATAACAGATCCTTTCGGCAAAAAAAAGCCAAGCTTGTTTGGAGGGGATTAAAGATAATAAATGTCCTGTTCTATCAAATAAATGCAGGTTTAGTGGACATTTTCACATATGACATCTGGTAATTAAGACTAGTAGTAACATAAGGCTCTTAATTTACAATATTGAAATGAGATGTTTGCAGAAAAAATCATACTTTTTTCATGTTATGTACTTTACTATGTCATTATAACATCTCAATTTTATAAGGATGTTTGGCTGTGTAACTCAGTAGTCTGGTTGCATCAATTGCAGCCCTAAATTTTAGAAAGCATATTAAAAAAGAGTTTTATATTTTCAGATAACTCGTATCACACAAAAGAGAATTGTTCTAAATATGTATTTCTCACAGAAAAGAAAGAGATCAAAACAGATAATCATTTCTGTGGTGTTCAGACATTAACCATTGATGGTTATCACCGGGATTGGTGGTGATAAATTGACACAAACACATTAGTACCAATTATGTGTTAGAATTTGTCCCATATTTTATCCCTGATTAGCTAACTGCTAATCATTGGACCTGGGAAAATTCATAGGGAGAGATATATGAGATAAGTTTCAACTTGGGATGTAGGTTAATTTTATGTGTGTGAGCAGCAGTCAGCAAGAAGTTGTTTCATATTTTCTGCTAGGATAAATCTATACGGTGAAGTAGTGCATCAAATTAGAAATCTGTCTGGGTTTTGCTGCAGTTGAACTGAAGTCATAGATGATTTATTCATTTTGAGTGGGTACTATCCCCCAAATACTTTTCTGTTAACTATGTCAGCAAAATTTTAATTCGAAATCAGAATCATTAACAAAGGCAAAATTATGAACAAAGTGAGAAAAATTAAGAAGGATACTCTTTAGAAAGTACAAGGAAAATAAGACCAGGTGTTCCAAACAGGTTAACACCTTTTACTTCTTCAAACAAACTTATTGTTTCATTATAAGATGTCGTGTTTCAAAAATTAGAACCAACATCATTAACAAAACATTTAGCATCAGGCATACTTACTTACAAGCAACAAATTAAGACATATCTAACTTTGCATTGCTGAAGGATTGTTTGTTTATTTGCTGGGTTTATTGCCCTAGGAATAGCTTTTGTCATTTTAAAGTAGGGACTCCTTGTAGAAGCTGTTGGCTACCTCTTAGAACAACACATGGGAGGCTCACCACGTGTATAAGGCAAAGTGTCTCGCCCAAGGACATCATTCCCAATACCATAATGATGGTAACCATTAAACTACATCAACTATGAAATATGTTTACAAATTTGGTTTTGGACGGGAAAGGTTACTTTCTTCAAATGTAAAATTCACAATAGGATAATGGAAGTACATGTAAGTGAAACTATGTAAGTAATGAACAAGATTAAAGACTCTTGTAGAAGAGTTGATCTTGTCTTGTCCTTGTTTTCATGCACTGGAAGTTATAAATTCAAGATATTTGCCATTCCAAACAGACAGAAGGCAGTCCACTCACCCTTGCAACAGTTGTTACCTCGGATGAACTGCGTTGATTAAAGGTGTTTACTACAATGTGGTCAGATAACTGAATCCAGACTGAACGCAACAATAAACAAACCAAGATCATTACAGTAATATACAGAAGGAGAATTGGTGAGAGGTTTCACATCTGGACAGAATTTAGTAATTGTTTTCCTCACTTACTTTTTGAGGTATACCTATTATATGTGGGGTCATTGAAGACTGTTTGAAGGAAAAGTCTGTCAAGGATTTGTAAAACTGGTCTCAGTTCATAAACAGTTTGATACTTGATAAAGGAAATCTTAGCTGAAAAAATTTCATGAAAATACCCTTTACTATCACTGTCCAAAATATAAAAAAAAACTTCCTTAAAGGATAAACTTGATTAATCAACATTTTTAAGATGAAGAAGTTTATGAAAACTGGAGTCAGTTAGGGGATCATATGATGATTTTGGTATACTGCGTACTGTAAGTCTCTGGAACTGTTTATGTGGTGTTAGTAAACAGAATGTACACAGACTAATACAGTGTTATGTAAAACTTGTCATCCTCTCCTTTCTCCGAGCTGGATCTGGTTGCTAACAATTAGTGCCCCACCAAAGAGAGTATTGCTTATTAACTCCAGGATACAGTACTTAATGCTATTTTAATGGAATGAAGGAAGCTTGATATAGCATATTTTGTTGTTGTTGTTGTGATCAAAAGTAACAGAAACATAGCATAGTATTCATTATATATCCATGTACACCCATTTCAACTGTAATAATGATCATTGTCCCACTAAGTTCACAAACTACTAGATTTTAAACCAAACTCCCTTAGTCCTAAACATACCTAGGCTGTTGATATAATTTTGCCCACATGGTCAAAAATAAAACTGGAAATGTCTTATAGACAAAATGGTTTGATCTTTCTAAACTGTACTTAATTTAGTCGATTTCATTTAATTTTACTTTATTGATATTCAAACTCCACCATAAAAAAAATGATACTTTAGCCATATTTAAGGGAATTGTAAACTGACGATCTAGGTATTTGGGTTTATTTACAAATAGTAGCTGCATATTGTGACCTTGCAGGTACTGAGACCAAAATGAGTTGAACCAAACACATTTGGTCCCTCCTAATATAACAATGGAACTCTATCATCAGCTTGAAATGAATTATATGATGTTTAGTGTGTAGTTATTGTAAATCTTTTAGGCTACATTAGGTCTACTTCTGGTAGCCTAGGTGACTACATTAGGTCTACTACTGGTAGCCTAGGTGACTGCATTAGGTCTACTACTGGTAGCCTAGGTGACTGCATTGGGTCTACTACTGGTAGCCTAGGTGACTGCATTAGGTCTACTACTGGTAGCCTAGGTGACTACATTAGATCTATGACTAGGTAGCCTAGTTGACTACATAAGTTCTACTACTGGTAGCCTAGGTGACTGCATTAGGTCTACTACTGGTAGCCTAGGTGACTACATTAGATCTATGACTAGGTAGCCTAGGTGACTACATAAGTTCTACTACTGGTAGCCTAGGTGACTACATTAGGTCTACTACTGGTAGCCTAGGTGACTACATTAGGTCTACTACTGGTAGCCTAGGTGACTGCATTAGGTCTACTACTGGTAGCCTAGGTGACTGCATTGGGTCTACTACTGGTAGCCTAGGTGACTGCATTAGGTCTACTACTGGTAGCCTTGGTGACTTCATTAGGTCTACTACTGGTAGCCTAGGTGACTACATTAGGTCTACTACTGGTAGCCTAGGTGACTACATTAGATCTATGACTAGGTAGCCTAGGTGACTACATAAGTTCTACTACTGGTAGCCTAGGTGACTGCATTAGGTCTACTACTGGTAGCCTAGGTGACTGCATTAGGTCTACTACTGGTAGCCTAGGTGACTGCATTAGGTCTACTACTGGTAGCCTAGGTGACTACATTAGATCTATGACTAGGTAGCCTAGGTGACTACATAAGTTCTACTACTGGTAGCCTAGGTGACTGCATTAGGTCTACTACTGGTAGCCTAGGTGACTACATTAGATCTATGACTAGGTAGCCTAGGTGACTACATAAGTTCTACTACTGGTAGCCTAGGTGACTGCATTAGGTCTACTACTGGTAGCCTAGGTGACTGCATTGGGTCTACTACTGGTAGCCTAGGTGACTGCATTAGGTCTACTACTGGTAGCCTAGGTGACTTCATTAGGTCTACTACTGGTAGCCTAGGTGACTGCATTAGGTCTACTACTGGTAGCCTAGGTGACTACATTAGATCTATGACTAGGTAGCCTAGGTGACTACATAAGTTCTACTACTGGTAGCCTAGGTGACTGCATTAGGTCTACTACTGGTAGCCTAGGTGACTGCATTAGGTCTACTACTGGTAGCCTAGGTGACTGTATTAGGTCTACTACTGGTAGCCTAGGTGACTGCATTAGGTCTACTACTGGTAGCCTAGGTGACTACATTAGATCTACGACTAGGTAGCCTAGGTGACTACATTAGGTCTACTACTGGTAGCCTAGGTGACTACATTAGGTCTACTACTGGTAGCCTAGGTGACTACATTAGGTCTACTACTGGTAGCCTAGGTGACTACATTAGGTCTACTACTGGTAGCCTAGGTGACTGCATTAGGTCTACTACTGGTAGCCTAGGTGACTGTATTAGGTCTACTACTGGTAGCCTAGGTGACTACATTAGGTCTACTACTGGTAGCCTAGGTGACTGCATTAGGTCTACTACTGGTAGCCTAGGTGACTACATTAGGTCTACTACTGGTAGCCTAGGTGACTACATTAGGTCTACTACTGGAAGCCTAGGTGACCCTTTTGATTGATTGATGAGCTGTATCCTTTAGTCTTGAAGGTCAGCCTTCTTTCATATATAATGTAAAACATGATGTTGAAAAGGATGAAATCAATTTTTCTTCTGACACTGTTTGGTTATGTCAAATGAGTGGTAGAAGCCAGTTGCAACAGGTGAAGGGGTCTAGTTCATCAATCTATTGTTGACAGGTTTCCCTTCAACTTGGGTGCTCTTCAGGGCAAAGTTACATAGAAATTCTTTTACTTTTAAGTACATGAATTAGGATTCCTATTGAATTGTTGTACTATGATATTTACTTTTCCTTCAATCACCATGCTTTTGGGTATCCAGATGGACGAGCTCAATAGGAATCCATTACCTACCAGATCAAGCATACCCAGTGTTGGCTCTATCTTTTCCTACGTTATGTGATATTTATGCTGTGTGTATTGTCCTGCAAACAGCAAAGGTTATTTTGAAGCAGGATATCCTTGTCCTTGAAAATCATGCAAGAAGATTATCACTTGCTATTCAG